GTCCTGGACGAAAACCAGAGCAAGCTCAGCGAGGACCTCATGGAGTTCCGGAGGGATGCGTCCATGTTGAACGTGAGCGGGCGGGGGCTGTGGGCGCGGGCTGGGGAGGAGAGACCTAGGAGGCAGTCTGTGGGCAGAGCACAGCCCCTCAGCGTGGGCCCCAGCAGGGAGCCTCCCCCACTGTCCTTCGCCCCTCCTCGTCAGGATTAGGGGTATGTGCTCCGGGGAGGGTTGCGCTGCCCTGTCCCAGGCCCAGGGGCAGTGCCGTGGACAGGCTGCCCTGGAAGCTGCAGCAGCTCCGCCCATTGCCCTTCACTCTGTTCCTGGCTTTGCAGGACGAGCTGTCCCACATCAATGCACGGCTGAACATGGGCATCCTAGGATGTGAGTACAGGCCCCTCGGCTCTACCTGCCACCCCCGAGGCCCCCATTGGGTCCCTCACCAGCTTCTGCTGTCTCTCTGCAGCCTACGACCCTCAGCAGATCTTCAAGTGCAAAGGAACCTTCGTGGGCCATCAGGGCCCCGTCTGGTGTCTCTGTGTCTACTCCATGGGTGACCTGCTTTTCAGCGGCTCCTCTGACAAGACCATCAAGGTGGGTGGGGTCCTGCAGCCTGGCTGTGCTGGGTGGGCACTGCATGCCAGCCTCTGCCAGCTGCAGCCTGCCCCTGGGCGGGCCTTCTCCCCAGATGGCTTTCTTCCTTTCTTGCCATGCTGCCGTTTGGCACTGGGCTGACCCTGCTAGGACCTGTTCTGGCCCTGGTCTCTGCAGGTGTGGGACACATGTACCACGTACAAGTGCCAGAAGACACTGGAGGGCCATGATGGCATCGTGCTGGCTCTCTGCATCCAGGGGTGAGTCCGGGTGCATATATGGCTACTGCTCACAGGGACAGGAGCCACCATGCTGCTGCTGTAGCCCACGGGGCATGAGCTCAAGCCTGCATGGCCCTGTGTCTGCCCCACCTGTGGGGTGCTCTCTATCCTGAGCAGCGCCGGCTCACTGGGTAGGTAGCAGGAGGGGGCTCCTGTGTGGGTCTTCTCTGAAGCCTGGAGCAGCCAGCCTCCCAGCAGAGCCTGGCCCTGGCCCTGGCCCTGGCCCTGGCACTCCTCAGGCACCCAGAGAACAGAGGTGTAAGACGTTAGGAGTGGAGGCAGGTGCTCAGCTGTCACTGGCCTGCAGCCAGAGCCCTGGCACAGCTCTGGGCATGGGGCCACGGAGCCACGGAGCAGCCGCCCTGGCTTTGTGGGAGTGAGAGTGTGTGTGTACATGCGTGTGCGTGTGTGTGGGTGGGAGGGAGGGAGAGAGATGCTCGCTTACAGGGAGCGGCAGCTTGACTGCCAGCAGCCGACCCTGGGATTTATTCAGCGCTAACAGTCGGGTAATTACCTCCCAGCTCGATGTCAAATGCTCTCCAGGCAGGCACCAGAGGCTGGGCTGCCACTTCCAAGGTTCCTGTGTGGAGACAGGAAAACAGGCTGGCGCTTCAGGAAACTGCATTGGGCCAAGCTGCAGGTTCCCGATGGCCAGCGCGGACCTCGTCCCTAGCTAGGGCAGTGTCAGCAAGGACGGCAGCTTCTCCTGCCTTGACATGTTGGTCTTGCTTCCCCAGGTGCAAACTCTACAGCGGCTCTGCAGACTGTACCATCATCGTGAGTGGGGCCGCAGGCAGGCGGGGGGAAGGGGCACCCCAGCACGCACTCCTGCCTGCCCCGGGCTCTGGGCTCTGAGGCTTCCTGTCCTCCCCTGCCAGGTGTGGGACGTCCAGAACCTGCAGAAGGTGAACACCATCCGGGCCCATGACAACCCAGTGTGCACCCTGGTCTCCTCCCACAACATGCTCTTCAGTGGCTCCCTGAAGGCCATCAAGGTATGGCGAGGGGTGCCTGTGGGTGCAGTTGCCGAGGCATCCGAAGCTCCCTCAGCCCACACTCACGGCCATCGTGCAGGTCTGGGACATCGTGGGCACTGAGCTGAAGCTGAAGAAGGAGCTCACAGGCCTCAACCACTGGGTGCGGGCCCTGGTGGCCGCCCAGAGCTACCTGTACAGTGGCTCCTACCAGACAATCAAGGTGCGCCCGAACCACACCCTGCCCGCTGGGGCTCTGCCCTCCCTGCCCTGCTTTGTACACACCCTGGGTGGGCAGGTGGACTGCCCTGTGGTGTCTGAGCCCCAGAGGCCCCGGAGGTGAGGCGCCTGGCCTGGGACCAAGTGGCCCCCACTTACCCACAGATCTGGGACATCCGAACTCTCGACTGCATCCATGTCCTGCAGACGTCTGGCGGCAGCGTCTACTCTATCGCTGTGACAAATCACCACATTGTCTGTGGCACCTACGAGAACCTCATCCACGTAAGGGGTGGCCCCCTGGGGGCAGGGCCAGACTCTGGGCCCGTTTCCCCCACCTCGTTGGGTCTCTGACCCGCCTGTGCCCACCCTCCCAGGTGTGGGACATCGAGTCCAAGGAGCAGGTGCGGACCCTGACCGGCCACGTGGGCACAGTGTATGCCCTGGCAGTCATCTCCACACCAGATCAGACCAAAGTCTTCAGCGCATCCTATGACCGGTCCCTCAGGGTACGCGCTGGCCCAGGTGGCGGGAGGCTCAGAGGGTGGGTGGCCAGGCTCCAGTGGGTCCTCACATCACTCGTGTCCCCCCAGGTCTGGAGTATGGACAACATGATCTGCACGCAGACCTTGCTGCGCCACCAGGGTAGCGTCACCGCGCTGGCTGTGTCGAGGGGCCGGCTCTTCTCAGGGGCTGTGGATAGCACCGTGAAGGTCAGTGTCTGTGGCTTGGGCCACCCAAAGGGGCTGCACAGAACAGCGGGGGTGGGGGAAGGGTGGTGAGGAGCTGGCAGCCCCAGGCAAGTGGCAGTGGAGAGCAGGTGTGGACCTCAGGTATCCTTGGGGTAGGATGGCCACAGGGCACCTGAATGAAACATCCCTTTCTTTGCAGGTTTGGACTTGCTAACAGGATCCAGGCTAGGCCTTGGCTGCTTCTGGGCCTGCCCTGGACCTGTCTGAGCCAGGCTGGCCACATGGGCTGGTCTTGGGGGTCTCTGCTTGCCATGTGGGGACAGGTGGATAGGCTCAGGCAGCCAGGCAGTGCCCTCCCTGCCCTGTGCTCAGCCCTGTCCTTGCTGCTGCCAGGACAATGCCCAGGCCCCTCCCTCTGGGTGCCAGGTACGACGCTCGCCCGGCCCACCGTCCGTCCCTACCCCAGATGGACTGTGCGGGCCTTTTTACTCACCTTTTCTACTGTTTTTAGACTGTATATAGATTTGATTACTTCTCGATTGAAATAAAAGCTGCACAGACTGTGGCTGTGAGTGACGTCAAGTCCCTGGGGTAAGGGGGCTGCGTGTGGCCTTGAGAAGGTTGGTGTGCACTGGCACCAGCAATGAGGATGAGGGACGCTGGGGACGGACCACAGAGCAGTTCCTTTGGTTGAGCCCAGGACTGCGACCCCTCTGGAGACCTCCACGCCAGGAAGAGGTTCGGCACACTGTGGCCTTGGCTTCCAGCCCTGCTCCCCTTTCCCCAACACACCCACTCCCAAAAAGTGAGCCAGGCAGCTCTGTTTTCTGCTGTTTATTGACAGCCGACAGCAGCTCCCTGCCCCGACCCCCCTCCCCACCTGCTGGAGCCCCAGCCTGGGTCACCCGCTGAAGAGAGGCCGGGTGGGCATCTGGGCACATCTACTTTCAGGGAAGCGCTGGGTGTGACACCTGGAAGGGGCCCCGCACGCCCAGATGCCCCCTCAGCCAGCCCCCTCCAGCCGCCCCGCACCACAATCGCTGGTTTTCGGCGGTTTTTTTTAATTCTTTTTTTAAAGAAATGTCAAAGTTGTGCCCAACACTTGTGGATCAGCAAACACGAGAGAGGAGACCAGTCAGTACTTGGAGAGGGAGAAAGAGACAGGAGGGGAAGAGAAGGCAGGAACAACCACACGACACAGCCTTGGACCATGAGTAGAAGTGTCCTTGGAACTTGGGTGGGTGGGCTGGCTGCCAGTGCGGGCCAGTGCGGGGCCCAGGGGGGAGGGTTGGGCACACCCTCGCACGCGAGCCTCGAGCCACACGGAGCCTGGCACCCATGCCCCTGCACCCGCGCTGCTGTCACTTGGCTGACATGCCCACGTTCACCACATTGCACGCACAGCGCACCTGGCACCAGCACCCCCAGGATGCAGCCACACCCAGGAGGAGGACACAGCCCATCAGCGAGCAAGGCACATCCTTTGAGTTCTTCGGACGCGGAGAAATTATGAGAGGAGCAGAGGAGAGACCCTGGGCAGAGGACCCACCCCTCCCTGGACCCCGCCTCCCGTTTGTGCTAGTGGGCCAGGGGCCTGGCCACTCTGGGGCGCAGGGAGGGAAGCATGGACAGACAGATGGCCTGGGCCTCTAACAGCTTTTGTCTCAAGCTAGACTCCAGTGTCCTTTCAGTTGGTAAATGGTTTTCTATAGAATCAATAATATTTCTTTCTTTAAATATATATTTGTTAAAGTTATACCTTTTTGTTTCTCTGGGGAAATCTGCCTCAGCTCATTCCCAATAAATTAATACTCTTGATAGCTTATATTCTGGGGGGTGCAGTGGGGCAGGGGGCCCTGACCTTGGTCCCTGTCCCTTGTGCTGCGCCGGAGCAGCTGGCAGAGGTTCCCCAATGGGCAGTTCTGTGCTGGGCATAGGCCTGTGCTCTGCCCCAGTTGGGGAGGGGGCCACGGCGCCCCCGTCCCTCCTCCTCCAGGGCGCCCGCAGCGGGCAGAGCCTGGCGCGGGGCGGCCCAGCAGTTATTGCACAGGAGCAGCAGGCGGGGACGGGCACGGGGGCAGCGGCGTCCGCCCAGAGCCCTTGGGGACCCCGGCCCGGGCCCAGGGCCAGGAGTTGTGCTTGTGCCGGCGCCCGCCCGCGCCCAGACGTGCCCGTCCTGAGGTAAAGGTCAGTGTGCGGGGCCGCAGCCCTGGCGGCGCGGGCGGCCCGACGTGGCCGCGTCACTCCAGCATGGCGTCCAGCTGGTCGGCCAGGTCGTCGAACATGCTGCCGATGTCGTCCAGGATGCTGCCGGTGCTCTTCTCCGGGCTGCGGGCGGGCGCGGCGTGAGCGGGACGGGCGGCGACAACCACGC